CCCCTGGTGTGTGAGGATGGAGGACCAAGCTCCCCTGGTGTGTGAGGGTGGAGGACCAAGCTCCTCTGGTGTGTGAGGGTGGAGGACCAAGCTCCTCTGGCCTTACTGTGGAAAGATTGAGCTCTGGCTTTGGTGGATGTGAGGAAGCTGGACCACTGCCCTGTGAGGTACAAGGCAGAGTCTTCACAAAGCTCGTGAAACAGACCTTCAGGGCCGCTCACCTGCATGCGTGCTTCCTTTGTGATCTTGTACTGAAATTCATAGTTCTGTGTTCTTTCAAGACCCTTTAAGTCATAGGTGCTCCAAACCCTACCAGCTTGTTTTGAGGCTAGTCCTTGTTTTCCTGGGGGTGTACATCAGGGATGCCTAGACCTGGGGGGATATGTGGACATCTGCCTTAAGAAAAGATGTGGCCACTTGCCTTGAGCCTTTCCCCAGCGTCTTCCAACTGGGCCATGTTGTCAGCATGTTGCCTCTTCTTGGCTGCCAAACACTCTAAACAGTCCTGGATTAGTTTCTGTGAAAGGGGTCAGGAGAAAAAGGAAAACTGTCACTTTCAAGCTAACAAGCTCTCATTCTCTCCACTAGGGACTGAACTCCAGGCTTGGTGACGGGACATCCACCTGCCAGGCCACTTCACTAATGCCGACCTTGAATTCTTTTTCAGCAGGAATACCTGGGGCTCTGAAGGTGGGAAGTTTGCCCAAAGTCAAGTGGTGAGTAAGGTTCAGGAGTGAGCAGAGACTCTGGCCCTCTGGGTCTCAAGCCTTTGTCAGGGATGCCCCCAACCTGGATGCCTATCTTCTATTTCTTTATGTCTGCTTTTAGAAGTAGCTATTTTTCTAAATACCTGGTTTAGGTCTCTTCCTTCCAAGGGCAGCCATTTCTCTACCTTAGCCTTCTCTACAGCTTGTCTTCCACTTGGCACCTGAGCCTAACTCTAAAGAACAGGGGTGGGCGTCTGAACTCTTATTCAGTCAGGAGTATACTAAGGTATGCCAGTTTCCAGGGGAGAACTGGAAGCCCAAGGAAGCAGGCAGGCATATGAGCTCTAGAGTAAGAATGAAGCTAAGTCTTAGCCCTCGCTGTGTGCTCAAAACCCATTCCTCCATTGCATGCAGGGATGCTGTGGGGATTAAGTGAAATCAGAGGGGCTGGCCAACAGCACATGCTCAGTGCAGGTCATTTTGCCATTTTAGCATCCAACAAGCATTTGCTGTGGTGGTGAATGACTTTACTGAAAGAGGAAACTGGGGGCTCGGCCTTCCACATACTCATCTACTGTGGGACACCTAAGCCACCTACTGCCCAAGTTGGCCCAAGCTTTCTGGTTTGAGCCCTCCACCTCCAGCCACAGGATTTCTGTCTCAGGACCCCATGAAATTCCATTTACCCTCCAAGGCCATGTCCATCCAATGGTGCTTCCCCAGGAAAGGCTTGTGTGGCTTCCTGCCCCAAGTTCTGTTCTCTGGCCTTCACTGAGCTCCACCATGGGCTCTCTAGTTATGATATCTAGTACATAGTAGTGCTACTACCCTTCCCCTACCAGCTGGGCAACTCATGCAAATGCAGGGAGGATCTGACTTATGACGTGGTTCACAGTTCAAGGCATTGTGCTGAATGTATGTTTGATGAAGGAATGACTTCGTAACTAGGTAGAGGAAGGGTACCTAGGCCAATGCATTGGTGAGTTAAACTGGGAGACAACAGAGACGGGAGACAGTTGAGCTACATCTCTGGAAAATAGCCTTGGCTCTCCAAGGAGCAGCGTTTGCGGATCATTCTTAACAGTCATTTCACAGGTGCTGAAGGAAGGTTCTGGAAGTAGGGGCAGGACTTTTTACTAGCCAGACCGTCCTCCCACAGGCCTGACACAGCTTGGAGTTGTAGACTTGTCAGGGGAGAGCAGAAAGGAAGGTGCTTTGGGCAGAGTTAAAAGAGACTTCTTGGAGATAAACATAATACAATCAGCCCTGAGGATTCAGAAGGTTCAGTCCAGCTTGCCTTCCTCAGATACAGAGAAGAGAATAGGTTCTGCACTCGGGGCTGCTGCCTTCGTTCTATAGAAGATAAGGCTATGATTAACATGCATCTGCTGTGGGTGGGATGGGGAGGGGACAATGGTGTGTTTGCATAGAGGGAGGAGCCGGATTCAAGTCAGGAAGAGGACCTTTTAGACTTTGCAAAATAATGTAGGCCATCAGGCCCCAGTTCAGAACGGCCGTTTATAAACTCCAGGGTCCAGAGACATTCCCAGGCTTCATGGAGTACATGCATACCTAGTTTTCTTTTTCTACAGTCTAGTCTTTTGAGAAAGTCTCTCTACATAGAACAGGTTGGCTTTAAACTCTCGATTTCCCCACCTTATCCTCCTTGGTGCTCTGTTAGGCCAACGTCCCCGGCGCCCTCGACTCTGGTCGGGGAGCTGCCCTAGCAGAAGAGGTAACGGACACGTGAGTACCAACCAGCCTGAGCCTCTCAGTACCCCAAGCCAATCTTGGGAAGCTTCACTGGTGGTTTGAGCAACCTTTGCACTTCCATGGAGTTCTGCCTCCCGATCTTACGTCTACTATCTAGGGGACCTCAGGGCCCTCTAAGTCTCCCCGTCCTAACGGGATTTGGCGGTAAGACCTGGGCTGGCGCTCCCTCGACGGTTACTCCTGTGCTCAATCTCCGCCCGCCCAGACCTGCGGTGCACGCCCTCGCGGCTTCCCACCTGCACGCGCGCAGCCTCCTCCTCGGCCAGGCCCACCGGGTGGCCGCGGTGCGTACCCAGAACTGGGCAGAGCGCGCACACGCAACGGCCGCAGCGGCGGCAGAAGAGCTCAGCCGGGCGTTCGCTGTGCTCCGGACAGCGCCAGTCACACGCCCGCGCCTCTGCAGTTCCGCTCGACATTCTCAGTGGCAACCGCCGTTCTCTGTGCAGTGAGGTCGACTTGGGTTGCTGCAGAAATCGAAACCTTGCTTAGGGCGGGGCGGGCGACCGAGCTCCCAGTGGCAGGCTGGAGGGGCGATGGCCTGCAGGGGAGTTGATGCTTGGTGCCGCCTAGTGCTGAATTCGCAGCTCAGCGTCCTTCCACTCTTCTGCCCTGAGGAGGAGGCCACTATAGATAGGTGTTTGCAAGGATAGGCTCACTAGAAGGTGGGCTTCCCACTTGGTGATGCTGGGCTTCTGGCTTCTGGCAAACTAAGATGCGTGGAAGGTGATGTGGCCTGCCCAGAGGGCCCACATTTTCTACACCCCACTTTGTTCTTTTCCTGTAGTGTTTCCTCTCTGTTATAAGCCTTGTGCAGGGAGGGGAGGGTGATACGGGGAAGGGGAGAAGGTGAGATTGGAACAGATTTCCAGGAAGCCCCAGTTATCTCCAGGCTAAAACTTCAAAGCCCCAGGCCCTGAAGATGCTCTAAACTCTCCTGCCCTGATAGGTGGATAATCTACCCTGTTTCCAGCCTGGGGATTTTGCAGTTCCCCCTTGAGGTATAGCTACTGCCCACTGTCACCTATCTCTTCCTTCAGGAAGCTTCGCTTCTTTAGAGCAGCCTGACCACCCTGCCCCAACCTGTCCCTCACGAATTCTCTCAACCACGAGTGGAAACGCTTTATTGGACCTTACTGGCCAGTTTGTCAGCCAGGGTATCTGGTCCAGATACCTAGTGATAAATTGGTACTTGTAGAACGAATTAACAAAAAGAATTCACCAAGCATTGCAATATTTAGTCTGGTGTTTTATTATTTTGGTTGAGGCAGAGTCTCGGACTCTTTGCCCAGGCTAGTCTGAAAGTCTCAGTCCTTCTGTCTCAGCCTTCCAAGGGCTGGTATTACAGGTGGGAATTACTACCCACGGTTGATTGTCATATTCTTCCATTGCACAATTCTGTATTTTAACTTTTATTTATTTTTTTTACAAAGGTACAAGGAATTTAAGAAACATTAAACAATCACTCAAACGGCTTCAGGCACAGTTTCATATGGAAAGCGTAGGTCCGTTTCTCGATTCCTGTTTCCCTCTGGGACACGACCTCAAGTTTTGTTCCAGGAAGCAGAATTATTCTAGAGTTAAGGTGGGTGGGTACAAGTTCATCTCCAAGTGCTCTCCCTCATCCACACAAAGTTCTTGAGTCAACAGAAAGGGAGCTCCCAAGGCATGAAGTGAGGAGATGAAGGCTTCTTTGCTGTTCGGGTAGACAGTGTTGCTCCATTAGCTCAAGAACATAAAAACATAATCTTAAAAAAAATGACTTAAAAATATCTGACAAAAAATTACCTATCCCTCTCCCTTGCTATGAAATAATTTAAATAATTTATTCTAGATGTAAAAAAACAACAGAACAAGAAACAACAAATAAATTTGTTCATAGCCGCCTGTGACCGGTTCCTGAATGTGAGGTCCGGGTCCCTTACAGTGGGGATAGCTTTGTTGAGGGGATAGTGCTGTACAGAGATGTGAAGGGAAGCTCCCTGGACCCCACCCCTAGCCATACGCAAGTGGCAGCCAGTGGTTTGGGGCTGGTTTCTTCACTACACGGCCATCCTGCTTTCTGAACATTGGGTTGGAGCTTTAGTGACATACTGGTCACAAAGGAGAGAGAGCCCCATCCTAAGAGCTCCAGGTCCCTGTCATTGTCTGGAGCCTTATTCAGGAGCACAAATAAGGCAAGCATAGCTAGCTCATCACAGGGTATACAGTCCCAGTGTAGTGTAGGGACGGAGAATAAACCAAGGAGCACAGGACTCTGCTGTGTGCAGACACAGGCTATGGTGAGTGATGAGGTCATGCGGGAGTTGGCTTTGTACTGCTTCCATTGTCAATACAGGAGCAGGATGCTAGCCAAAAGTATCTCCATCCCCACTGTACAGAAGCCACCTAGGCAGCTTGTCCAGAGGGAGACACCCACCACTGCAGGGTCAGCTTTAGTGGGCAGCTCTGGTCATCAGTATGTACATCCAGAGGGCTGCTAATGGACAACGTAGGTTGAAACCTGTTAGCCTGGATGGCCCCTGTAATTTTCAATTGAGCTCCAGCATGATCCTGAGTGACAGGGGAAACATTGTCCAAGGGGGAAGGGGAGGTGGGGAACTCTGTCTGCCTGTCCAGGGGAGGATCGGGGAGGCAGTACTTCCTGTGGTAAGCCTTGTCTCAAGTTGGTTCTCAGGCACCAGCTAGACTTGCTGTACACCAAGAAAGAAAAGAGCCTCAGAACCGAGCACAAGATACACAAGGGAGGGCTGCAGGCTTTGAGACCAGGGGGGCATCTGGACCCATCTTTTCACCCAATGCAGTCAACCAGAGCCCTTACTGGTGGCTGGCCACAGGGCTTTGCCACATCTAGTGCTGGCTCCCCTACTTCCCAGAGGACTTTAGATACCCTGGGTGGAAGTCCATTTCTACCCTCCAGGAGTCAACAGACAAAAACTCAGCTCTGAGGTCTGTGTCCCCACCTATGGAAATATCTACCCATATGTGGCTGATTCTGGTTAGAAGGATGGGTTTGGCTGCCTGCCTGTGGTTTAGAATCAGGCCAAATCTTCACTCATTCCTCTCAGATTGAGTCCCTGTACCAGAGTGAGTTTCTGCATTCAACTCAGGTCATCTTGTCAAAGGGGATGGTCAAAATCAAGACTTTGGTGGAAAGTCATAGAGTGGGCAGCTCATTCGAACCTTTCTCTTGTTTAAGTGGAAAAACCAAAACTAGAGACAGAAATATTGGATAAGAGGTTGATCAGTAAGTCCGGACACAGCTGCGGGCAGAACCAATGGGTCTTACTGTGGGGACTAAGAACAGCATTGTCAGACAGACTCAGATGGGCAGGACCTCAGTTCAGCCCTTGTCAGGAAACAGATCTTGTCTCTCTCTGGGCCTCAGTTTCCTCACTGTAAAATACCAGAGCAGTGGTTTTCAAACTTCTAAAAAATAATTTAGCAGTCAAAGTATCTGTTCCAAAGCAAGCTGATGGAGACGGGGGTATCTTCTAGAATGAGCCCACTGACCAAAACTGCCTCCCAGTTATGGCCAGAGTTGCAAACCACAGGCAGGTTGACCTACTCAGTCCTTCCAGATCTTTCTATCAAGTTTTCCCCCTTCTGGGAGGTCATAGCTCCTCACCAACCCTTAAAACCAGAATTCAGCAGAAGGTAGGGTGTAATCTAAACCAGCCAGCCAGGGCAGGATTTGCAGCTTTGAGAAGGCGACAGGAAAGCGGCACCATGTCCCACTGGGATCTCTTTCAGCAACAGTTTTATTTTCCCAGTATAAAATATATAAATAGTGGTTGTTCTCGGGGACCTGCGGTTTGGTTCTGGACCTCTCCACAGAGCCTAGCGGTGTCCCTGAGGGCAAGGATGGAGGAGACCTCTACTCAGAACTGTTCTAAGACCATCCGTAGGTTTTTGATCTCCAGTTCCAGCTGCTTGGTCTGGACCTCTCTCTGGATTAACAGCTCCCGGAGCCTCCGGATCTCCTCCTGTTGCCGGTAGAACATCTGTAGCAGCTGTGGAGCACAGTGCAGAGAGTAAGGTCATCTGGATGGCTGGGATAGGCAATAGCACAGAGGCTAAGCCACAAACTTTTGACTTGGTGACAGTGGTTAAATTATTAACAAGGGATGGTCACTTCTCAGCCACGACGAAAGCCTTGCTTGTTTTACCCAACAGTAAAGTTGAATAGCGTGTCTGTATCCTATTTCTCCTTCCCAGACCCCTGAGGGGTAGAGCAAAGGGGAATCACCTATGGAGTTTCTAGATTGAGTTAACTGAAGGGGAGGACCCACCCTAACTGTGGGTAGCATTAACAAATGGGCTGAGTGCCAGCATCCATCTCTCTCTGCCTCCAGCTTGTAGACGCCATGTGACCCACTGTCCTAAGTTCCTGCTGCCATGCCTTCCTCACCATGCTGGGCTGCACCCTGGTACTGCGAGCCCAGATAAACTTTAAGTTGCTCCTGCCAAGTGTTTAGTCACAGCAGTAACAGCAGCAGCAGCAGCAGCAGCAGCAGCAGCAGCAGCAGCAGCAGCAGCAACAACAACAATAAAAAGTTGCCAATACACAGGCAAGTTGCTCGTCTGTCCTATGCGTCAAGTTTTCTCCTTTGGGAAGTGAAAGCTAATCCCTTGCCATAATTATCACTATACAAAATAGCCATTAGATGCTGGGCACCCTGAGGGTCTCTGCTTTCCCCCAAAATGCCTGTGACATCTCCTTAGGGTGGCAGTGTTAGTACCTCCTCTTTCCGTGTTTCCGTGGCAGAAGCTGAGGTGAGGTTGTTTCCATTAGCAACCTGTCCACAGCGGTACTTATTACACCAACCTCGCATACGGCAGATGCTTAACGCACATTGGCTCAAAAACAAGCCTCAAAAACTCAGTGTGGTGCTAGGATCATAATGGCACCAAGTCCTTCTGCATTTTACAGATAGTCCTTGTTGTGTTTATAAAATGATAAAGATGAGAAGGAATATGTTCTGGTGGAGGTGTAGTCAGGGATGGGGGAAGGGGGTACCTCCGCGGGCCCATGCATGGGGAGGGGAGCTGAGAGGGGAGAGAGAGAGAGAGAGAGAGAGAGAGAGAGAGAGAGAGAGAGAGAG